GGGAGAAAGAAGTCTTTCTGCCAACAATAGGTACCGAGAGGTTTCGAAGGTTGCGGAGGCATTATTACCCACCTTTTCAGCAGCCAAAATTCGCCTTTCGCACCTCACCATCAACCATAAGCGCACGAGAGCGGGTGACCAAGGGACCCACGAGATAAGTGGCAGACCAAGACGCCGGAAGTGGCTTTTTTGGTAGCCAGAAAGGACGGCCCAGAGCCAGAGACCCCGATGGGCATAATCGTAGGGAGTGCAGACCGGATGCGACACGGAAATTGGACCGGCCAGCGTTGCAGGTCCCTTTCCAAAGTATCCTTAGACAAACAAGGACAGGTTTCAAGACGGAGCCAGTCTTGGGACAGCAGTCTGCGGACGGGTCTCGAGACAAAGCCAGTCTTGGGACAGCAGTTTGCGGACAGGTTTTAAATGGAGCCAGTCTTGGGACATACAGGTCTCAAGACAGAGCCAGTCTTGGGACAGCAGTTTGCGGACAGGTTTTAAAACAGAGCCAGTCTTGGGACAGACAGGTTTTAAGACAAAGCCCGGTCCCATGTCCGCGGACTGCTGTCCCAAAACTGGCTTTGTTTTAAAACCTGTCTGTCCCAAGACCGGCTTTGTCTTAAGACCCGTCCGCAGACTGCTGTCCCAAGACTGGCTCTGTCTTGAGACCTGTCCCTATCTTAAAATTGTTTGTCTTAAGACAAATCGGCCAGTCTTCAGACCTATCCGGGTCGAAAACTAGAAACTTACTGGGAGGATGAACAAAAGACTTGCCCATGAGCTTGCTGCTCGTCATACTCTTGCTCCAGTTCGGCCATTTGGCGATCTTCTTGATTCTCTCGTTGCGGCGCCCGCTTCCGTAGGGGCTGTCTGGCTTGGCATTGTGTCTGCCCGCTCGCAGCATTCAAAGGAACGCGACACGATCTACTGTGGTTACGGTAGTGACGACGTCAGCCGAGAGAGATTCGATCGACCCGACTACCCTCCCCTCTCTTTCCCTAGTTCTTAGAAAGGCAACGGGAAACAATTGCACTCCCGCACTCTCTCCCCTACAAGCGTTTTCAGGAGCCCAGCGGGTAAGAATACATCATGTCATAGCTGTTAGGGGACGTTACGTGACCCCGCGCCCTACGCACGCTTTCCTAGATAGTCGTGCCCCGCGATCCAGCCCTACGGGCCTCCCTCGCACGAGAATTCATCCTTTTACACACCACTTCTATTGCACCCCTCCGGTCCGTGACACATCATATGTGCAGACCCTGCCTCAGATAAGCTGTGCAGACGAGCGATCCAAGCAGTGGCTTGGATTGATGACCATTGTGGAGTATTGGCGCAGTGGCATAATGTCACGGCTACCAAGGGGTGCAGCGACCACGTGATTAGCACGTGGCTTTACCCCGCCGTGGATAGATATCCCCGCCTCGCGAGGAGGCCCGCAGGGCAGATTCCTTCAATCAACAACCTTCCGCACCACTAGTTTATTGACCCCCATCTGGCTCCGATACATAAGGCTCGCACCACTGTTCGTTACAATTATCCAAGCCACTACCAGTTGGAGCTTCAGGTTCGATTCTAGCTGCGTGCACATGTTAGACGCTGCACTTTGTGCGGAGGTGCGGGGAATCGAACTGGGGTAGCCGGCTGACAGTGTCTAGTCCTATTTCTGTCGAAAAACTGCTCTTCGCTCCCTCTTTGTTCGAAAAGGATTACGGTTCCAGTACATATACACAGTATGTGGTACGTGCACTCGTTCAGCACGTGCTCGTATGCCACCTAGAATCTTCTAGATCGTCCACACGGTACCATCGAGTACCCTCGTTTTGACAGCAGGGATGGGTAGGGGCGTGGTAGAGTCGTTATCGGAGACGTTCCACACTAGCAGCGGGTTCATTGTTCGCGGCCCACGACAGCGGCGTTAAGACAGCGGCGTCCGCCCGTAGTTGTCCTTCCTGTCGACGTCGACCTTGCCTGTGGCGAGCAGCAGTTTGACCACGGCCTCGTGCCCGTTCGGCCGACGTGCGCGCGCGCGTCGCGGACCAGGACGTGTCGGAGCGGTACCGGTACGGCGAGATCCGTCTAACCCGCTTGGACTTCTACGCGCGCCTCCTGGTCGGCCTCCACACCCGGTACCAGTCCCTCGAGCCGCAGTACTCGGACTACTTTGCGCGCATTTACGGCCCGATCCTGTTCTGCATCGGCATCCTGTCGCTGGTGCTGAGCAGCCTGTATTAGGGATCTTCACTGTCACGGCCAGTAGGGCCCTCGTAAAAAGTAGGAGGCACGCGGCTCTCGGAAACCCGCAGCCCTTATCTAGATAAGGGCGAGCCCCACCAAGTGGGCCCCCACACGGAATTGGGCATATCCCAATTCTGTGCAGGCCGGGCCCTCCGGGCCTCCCTCTCTTCAACAACTAATCTACTTTACTGCTCACGTTTACTTTGCCTGCCCTGGCAGCTCTGATATAGAGAATCATATCCGCAGCTTGACTTTATCGTCTCTGGCGTGGTAGCACTGCTTTTCGAAGAAGCAAACCACGCCAGCAGCCCAAAGTAGGAGCGGAGCAGGGGTACCTTTGGATCCACGTAACGTCATTGGCCGTGCACACAACGTCAGCGGGCCATAGAAGTGGAGTCTGGTCGGCGGGCGAAGTCACATGATTAAGCGTGACTAAATTCGAAGCAACCCGATGATGTTTCATTCTCTACCATTGTCGACATCCTTGCATGGGGTGACAGCCCCGCGCCACCATATCCGGATCCGATGCAGGCTAGATGGAAAAAAAAATTAAAAGGAGGGGCTAGCTCGGGGGAAGCCGACGTCGACGCCTACCAATTATGCCACCAAGGTAAAGGATCCGGTGTGGAAGCGCGTCGTGGCAGCTAAGGAACTGGTCCGGCCCCTGGACGACGGGCCGCGTTCGAGCGGGAGGCCAGGCAGGCCTTCCAGCCTGGAGCATCCTTCACCCTTCGAGCCCACTCGATCTTGCAGCCTGTATGGCATTGAAGAGCGGGCGAGAGCAGACGTGATAGCCCGGCACGAGGACTACCGAGCGCGGCGTTTTGCTGCAGAAAGGAGGCGCACCTGCCTAGGTCCCTTCCTGCCAGGGGATTCTTCGTCGTAATTTCGTCGTCTCAGCCACAAAAGGTGAGCCAAACGCAATCTCCATGCATGATCTGCTATCGCAAGTGTGCCAGGGCCGAGCTGGAAGACATTGATTGGGATCAGTGGACGGCTAGTCTTATCACGAAGTCAGACGGCTCGCCTTTCCAGTGTCGCGAATGCTTCCCCGCAGGGGAGAAGATTTCGGGGTGTAAAGATTGCCTAAGGCAAATGGGGAATAGTGTGTTGTCTCCTGCAGGCCAGCTCCACAGCCGCCTAGGTTGCGAGCACATGTTTCCGGACGAGTTGAAGGGCCTTACGCCAGTTGAGGAGAAGCTCATTGCGCTGAACTCGTGTTATGGGTTCATCACCAAGTACAGTTTGCCGGAGGGGCGTAGACAGAGCGCGAGATATCCGAAGCACGTTAAGGGGCACATTACAGTATTCCCCAATAACGTACAGGACCTCGTCAGCAATGTCCTCCCCCATCCGCTGGTAAAGGTTATGGATGAGATCCATGTCTCTTGGCAGGGGCCGGAGAAACCGGCACCGGGTGACCTATCAGCACTGCTATCAGTGAGGCGCCGTGTCGTCGAAAAGGCGCTGGTGTGGCTTAAGAGGAATAATCCGCTGTACGCGACGATCCACATCGACACGGCCGACATGGACACCTGGGAAGCGCCGTCACACGGTGTGCCCTCTCAAGTCTACGCGCGTCTGGAGCGGAACGAGCCGTCGGCGTGGGAGAAGGCGCGAACGGGACAGGTCGTGCCACCTACGGAGCGCGGCCTAGAAGAAGGGGAACTGAGGGATGTCCGAGAGATTCTTGCAGCGCTAGAGCGGGGAGACGATGTCGGGGGCGGCGAGGCGTGAGTAGGCAGGGGAGCAGACTCGGAGGGCGAAGACGGGGGCGAGGGGGCGGTGGTAGAGCCGGAGGGTGCAGCGGCTGGGATCCACGAGATTAGCTCGTCGGGGGATGTTCGCTCTCGACGTGGGACCGGATGTTGCCGACGTTGAGAAGCTGCGGTACGTCTGCGACGCGCTGGGCCGTAGGGTCGCTGGCGGGAACGAGTCGATCGGGGCACCTGCTCCTGCAAGAGACCCAAGACGCCTGAACACATCGTCTACTGCCGTAAAACCACGCGGTTCCGTAACAAATGGCCAACCTTCAAGCTCACCCCTCGGACACCGCAAGAGTACTGGCTCCGCCTAAGCTCAGGCCCGAAAGATTTCGCAAGCTTCTTGCAAACCACACGCTTTTACGAGTTAACTTGCCCACAGAGACCGAAAACGCACCAATAAACCACAGAACCACTCCCACGACAAAACCCCATCCCCTTCCTTCCTACAATTACACCACTAGTACCTCCCGGAATCTAAGCCAAGGGGGTCGAGATAACCACACTCCCCGATTCCTCCAACCTACCCAATCTCATCAGAGTTTAGGTTAGTATTACAGGCGGAAACGCCTGCAACTACGACTTCCCTTCCATAACCGAACACGAGCTCAAACGGCGGAGCCAACGGGCGCGGTACATTTTTTCCATGTTGTCATTGGGCTTGATTTGCAGGATATTCTGGACGCCAGTGCCTTAGCTTCGTGCACAAGCAGACGAGACAGTGCAAGCAGTGTTGCAGCCCCGTTATATAATGCGTCTGTTGCCAATAAAGGCAGATAAGGTATGGAGATGGGCCGCATACAAGTCAGAATCAAACCCCCACAAATCGGGTGCTGCCTCAGCCTGCCCTGAAGTGATGGAAGCGCCGGCCGTACAAGAAACACCCACGTAGCAGGGTCCAGATACGGCATTACCGCCGTCCAGCCTGGTCAAGATTTCTTCGAGTGCAGTGGAACGACCGGTGCAATCCTATCGGGACACGACTTCATATCGCCAACCGAACTACCTCAGACAATCTCCTGCATGGAGGAGGATTGTTGCTGCATCCAATAGTTACCCTGCTAACTGCGCACAAAACGCGCAGATCGCTACCAACCCTCCCGTGCCTTCCCCTCCAGTGCATTCATTCCCAGCCTCACTGCTTCTGCGTCAACCGCGATTGGGACTCGTCTGCCCCTCGCCAACCCCACCTGCGGCTGCATACTCGCCGGGCATGCGTGCTGCTGCACGTTCCTTCGTTCGCGGCCCCCAACCCATATTGGCACTTCATGTTCACTTTATGTTGAATTGGTGGTAAGCATCAGCACAGACTTTCCTCCCAAAAGCCTAGCGCGACCGCCCGTTTGCCAAGACCGAGGTCAGGCTGGCTACCACATGTGCGCCATCCAGCCCATCTCGCCTCCGTCCTTTTGTTCCACCGCCAACGAGTCTGGCTGGTGTGGACTCTATTGCCACTCGACCCAACCTGAAAGAGATTTTTCATACTTCCCGCCCGCCTCTGGGCTCCCTTCCCTCCCACGCGATCCGTTCCAGCCCGGCTCCTCGCAGCCTCTGTCCTGCTGTTTATCGGCTCCCTCAAGTCAAGTTTTGGGCGTTCGCCGTCACGCAGACTCACCTCACAAGTGGGCGCTTGAGATTTGTCTCGAGAGTGGCGGAGAAACACTTCCATGGTTTGGCTCCCCGGTGGCATGGGTATTGGTCTCTGAGCGCAGCCAAGAGCTTCAAGTCCGCCCCCAGTCCCGGCCTCGCCCCCGGCCCCGACCGCTGGGTTGGATCCGGAGCCCCGACCTCGCCCTCAGGCTCGACCACCAGACTGAGTTTATCGGCCCGAATAGGCGCTGCTCGTCGGTTCCTCGTTGATCGACGGCGTCGAGTGCTCCCGCTTGACGCTGCTACTCTTTCCGCCCTCCTGGCTGCAGACCTGGGTGAATTCGTCGAGAACCGCCTATAGGGGGTGGGTTTAGAAATGGCAGGCATGTTAATATGAAACCAAAAAGGCCGATCGGAAAGGACAGAACGGAAAGAAACTTCTCGAGCCGGAGATCCCTACGTTGAAGTTGTGGCCCACCAGCGACCCAAACACACGATTCTTACTGATCTTTATCCGTATTGTGCGCGGGGTGAAGATGCCAAACGCGACCCTGGTCAGGAACAAGGGGTCATCGCGGTCCGGGATGACGCCGAGGGTCTCCATGAGCAGGTTAAGGTCGACCGGAGCCCGGGGCGGCGCCTCGGGCATGACAACAGCGACACCTGTCTCGCAGAAGCCGCAGTGGCCGCAGCGCTTCTTGTCGCCTGGCAGGTTCATGCCGAAGTGCAAGGCAAGTGCGTAGGCAAAGCACTGCTTTCCCGTCACCAGCCCTATTACCTGTTCGATCCGATGGACTGCGTCGGATTCACGCCCCTTTAAACCGGCGAAGATCTCGTCGGCAAGAGTGCCGATCTCGGCAGGCGTCTGAGGCAGCTTCTTGGATGTGACCTGATACCGGTTTTCCTGCCCCGAGACCACCAAATTGATCAAGCCCTTGTCATGCAGTTCGTTGATCTTCCTGACAATCGCCCGCCGGTTGAGGTTCAGGATCCTAGCGGCGGTCCGAACATCTATGCTGTAAATGCTGCCTCCCACCGGCTTAGAGAATCGAATGATAGCTTGTGCTGCGGGCGACTGGTCTTTCAAGATTGTGGCGACATCGTACTCAGTTTGAGCATCGAATTTGTACTCGCCATACTCGGAGGTGGTGGCGCGGATCAACCCGAATCGCATTTCCAGCATCCCATAGATAATCGACAGAGGGCTAGCACAGATGTCGTACTCAGTCATCTGGGCATAGTGGTTGCGTCTGAAAATACCTTCGACAGGAAGCGCCGTGACCTCGTCGTCAAAAATATTCTGCAGCACTGAAACCACGTCGTCCCGCGTTGGAGTACCACCATAGGCGAGCGACGAGCGAATACCCTCGTCCTCGGGGCAGAGGTAGAACATGCAGGTGCTGGGCTTTCCGTCTCGACCGGCGCGGCCAACCTGTTGACTATACTCCTCGACCGAGCCTGGAATGCCGTAGTTGACCACATTTCGGATGTTGGGCTTGTCGATTCCCATACCAAACGCGATCGTGGCGACAACAATATCGACCTCGTCAGCCATAAACTTGTCTTGGGTAGCTTCCTTGTCTTCCGTTTGCATCCCTGCGTGGAACGGGAGAGCGCACAGCCCAGCATTGACTAGCTCCTTCGCCAACTGAACCGTTTGCCTCCGGGTTGTAACGTAGATCAGCGTTGGGCCCTTGTGTTCCTCCAAAAACGAAAGGAGTTCCTCCAGCTTATCACTAGCGCACTCCACGGGTCTCGCAAGAAGCCGCAAGTTGGGACGATAGAGTGCGGTGCGGAAGACATCGGTCTTGGCGATATTGAAGTCTTTGCAAATGTCGTGAATGACGTTGGTCGTGGCCGTGGCCGTGAGGCAGATAGCCCGCTCGGCCTTAACCTCCTGGATAAACCGGGCGACCTTTAAGTAGTCCGGTCTGAACTGGTGACCCCATTCGAAAATGCAGTGAGCCTCATCGACGGCGACGAGCCGGACCCCACCGGCCACATCCTTAAGACACTTGATAAAGTTCTGGTTGATGAGTCGCTCCGGAGGGCAATATAGGAGACGCAGCGTCCCGTTTCGCATCTTAGCATTGATTTCCTTTTGTTGCCCCCAAGTCTTGGTCGAGTCAAGGCTGTCGACAGGAATGCCCTTGCGCTTGAGCACCTCGACCTGGTCCCTTATGAGAGAAAGAAGGGGGGAGACGACGATGGTGATGCCGTGACCACGCCTAGCGCCACTGGCACGGTCAAGTTCCTCAAAAGCGATTGCCGGCACCTGTGATATATGGCGTTAGTAAGCCAGGGTAATGTCGTTCTTTTTGATCCACGTGCAAGCAATAGTTGAGATGGGAGGTGGCCGGTCCATGTGTCTGGGAGGACTATAATGAGGTATGCTACGCTGACTGACCTGATAGCACAAACTTTTACCTCCTCCCGTTGGCAGCACGACCATGGCATTCCTGCCATAAAGGATGCTGGATATGGCAGCTTCCTGCTCCGGGCGAAATCCATCGTGGCCAAATGTCTGGCGGAGGATCTTCCGCGCCAGCTCGGTTCTAGAAGGGCACGGCGCAGCGTCGTCGGCTTCGAGCTTGATCCGTGGCTTCTTGGCATCTTCTATCGCCGCGAACCCCTCAGCAAGAAAATCGTCGAACTCATCCTCCTCACCCTCGAACTTGCGCTTCAAAGGGTCTTGAGGCGAAGGGCGGGGAGCCTGTGCCTGGCCGGAGACCGCGTGTTCCGGGACGGCGCCTGCCTCGTCCCCGTCGAACAGGTCGTCGACAGATCCGCAGTCGCTCGCAGCGCTCGCAGGTCCAGATGCGGGAATTATCAGGCGGCAGTGGAATGCTGAGGAAATGAGCGAACGGGGTTTCGGGAAAGGCTGGTGAGGTTGAGGACGGTCACGCCACGACTTGACACCCGACAGACGCGTGCGCTGCAAGCTATCGAAACGCGCTGTCACGTGGAGAGAAGGACCTCTCCACCAACCGACACAGGGAAATGCCGCAGCACGCATTGTGTCTACATCGAAATCCTGGTTTTTAATCCTCATGCAGCGCTAAAAGGATTAAACGAAGGTACTTACCTCACTAGGGTTGCTTTGAAACCGGATTTGGTTAAAATTTCCCAAGTTGCGCTTCTACAGTGGGGCAGCCCCAGCTGTCACAGACCTTTTCGCGATGTCGAAAACCGAAGACGTTTCTCAGGTCGTTATTGTCTTCGAGTGCGTAGCAATTCGAGGCTCCCGGACCGTCCAAGGTGCGGGCAGAGCAAGGTAGTGTCCAAGGGTTTGAAAAACCGCCCCTTCGGCACTATCCAAGGCTAATAAATGGAGACCGTTTCCACCGAGTCCAGCCTGCCCTTTGGCCAATTCTGTCGTGCTCGGCCGTTCACATGCGCATCCATAAGGCCCCCGACATCAACGGGGGCCTCTTGCAGTAGTGGGAGTCATCATGCAGTGGGAGTCCTACGCGGCAGTGTGTACCATCATGGAGTAGTGGGAGACCTCGTGCAGCAGCCGGGTAGGCCCAGCCAATGTTGTGATCCAGCGGCTTGGATTGATTACCTGACAGCCAATTGGCTGTTTTCATTCTGTTGGGCGGTGCACAGAGATTTTGCAGGGCGGTCCTCAGGGTCTAGAGCTACAAAGGTGGGGCATTGCGGCGCTCGAGACACCACTCACACATCCGCAAAGCCCCGCCTCTGCTTCCTCGGTGATGTCATCGCGTTTGCGCACGATCGCAGGCAAAGCTGGCCTGTGTTGCGCTGCTCTTGTATACCCTCCGAACGCAGATTTCCCGGAATCGAGTCTGCCCGTGGTTCTTGATCCCTCATATTAAAGCGATAGTGACGAGCTTGAAGGTAGGGAAGCCTTTTATGATGAATCTGGAATCTGTCGCTTTCCTCTGCGGAAGTTATCCAACATCAGGCATTCTCGCTACGCCCTCTCTTGCACACTATATGGAATTTGGGGCCGCCATGGCAAACCCGGGCGAGCATCATAAAGGTAAAGCCCAATGCAAAGAATACACCATACATGCAGATGGTTAACGAAATATTATAGAAGCCATTGGAGAAGGCCCTGGCCTGCAGCGAGATGACTGGTTTCGCGAGGCAGGGCACGGCCGAGTCATTTTCCCACACGCGGCGGCGTATAGCAGTGACACCGGTATGGCGCTCCATTCCAATCCGTGCACGGGAGATGGCATTGCTTAGCGCTAACGAATTTATTCCTGCGCTTGGAGATACCTGGATTCCAGTTGCCTCTGAAGCCCCGGGCCTCAACGAGCTTCCGAGTAGCCATCAGTACCCAGCACAGCGACTTCTGGAGCAACCATCGGAGAGTGCGCCAGAGGCCTATGTCTGGTCGGCCGGACAAGCGAGTTTCAACAGCCAATATTTATCTAGAACCGGCCTCTACCTTGACCATTCACATCCGTTCCCCGGTGCCAACGAGAACCAGGGTCAAGACGCTTGGGGCCTTGACCTGATGCAGTCGGCCGGCTTCTCCACAGTTCCAGCTGCGCTGTTTGGTTCCTCTGTACCACTCGACGAACCCTTGAACGCTTCGGTCCTTTCGACCGAACCCGATTCTGGCATTGGTACAGACGCTCTGTGCACCTCCCGTCAAGTCGCTGATCTTCCGCAGTGCTCTATATCATCAAACGCCCGCGCTGCCCCCACAAAATATCATTGCCAATGGCGTAACTGTTCTATGCAATTCGATCTGCCAAGCCTACTTACGTACGTTCTACCTCAGCCTTACTTCTATCATACTTCTAACAAGCTGCTAGCAAGCACGTCCATACCCACACGAAGCCAAAACAGTGCCCATTTGCCCCATTCAACTGCTCTTGGTGGGGAACTGCTGCGCAACGCGAACTTGACAGCCACATCAAAATTCACCATGGACGTAGAGGGAAAGATAGGTTCAAATGTGGCTGTGGCAAAGGATACACTCTGCAGGAGAACTTGGTTCGCCATCAGACCAGGAAAGGCTGTGCAAAGGATACTGACGAACGAACGGAGATGTTACCTTCCAGTTAAGCCAAGCCTTTCTTGCTATCGACAAACATGCCCGCTCCCACGACGACCGTCGGTGGAGAAGCTTCGAGTCTTCCTCTCCTCGATTTCCCATCGAAGCACACTGTATCTAGATCTCGAGGGGAGGAACCTTAGCCGCAACGGGACGCTCGATATTCTCACCGCCCTCGTCCGCCCCACGAAAAAGACAAGCCTTATCGACGTCCACACCCTCGGCGACGCCGCCTTCACCACCGCAAACGGAGCCGGCAGGACGCTCAAGGGAATCCTCGAGGATCCGGACGTCCCAAAGTACTTCTGGGACGTGCGCAACGACGCCAACGCGCTCTGGTCGCACCACCGGGTTCGCCTCGCGGGCGTGACCGACGTGCAGCTGCTCGAGAATGCCGCGCGGCGGGGCAACAAGACGCGCCTTTGGGGGCTCAGCGCGGCTGTCGAGCGCCACCTGAACCCGCCCCAAGAGCTGCTGAGTCCCTGGCTCCAGAACAAGAAGGAAATTGCCGGCCTCATGCGAGCGGGCGAGGACGTCTTCTCGTGCCGGCCCCTGACCGATAGGATTGTCTGGTACTGCGCTGGCGACGTCGCGCACCTGCCCGCGCTGCGGGGCCTGTACGCCGGTAGGCTCAACGCCCGGCGGCTGGAGCGGGTGCGCGTCGAGAGCGTCAGGCGCGTCGACGAGGCCTGCGGCCCGGACTACGAGCCGCAGTCCGAGGACAAGACGTTCGGCCCTTGGGGCTCGAGGAAGACTAGGCCGTCCGCCGCGAGACCGATCGCAAGGTTTGTTCACCACCATGCCCGTTTTCCCCTGCTTTTTTTTTACAGCTCCACTTCTGATAGAGACTTAAAAACAGTGTGACTTACGAAAATAACATTGTAGTAACTGCATGACCTCAGGGAGAAGCTGCTGCCGTAAGACAGTTACCCTCGGCATCACTGCCCTCACTTTGCTCGTGGGCGTCTGGAACGTTTGGTAGGGGGCCTGTTGTTATCGAAAGAACCACAGAGATACCCCTCGTAGAATCACGCGTCTATCACTTACATCTCCAAAAGAAGAAGTGACCAGGATACTCCGTTACGGCGCATCATGTCGTTCAGGACAGAGCAGAGGCGGCAGCACGACATGTTTTCGTCCCACGAGATGGCCTCACTGGGGAGGAGAATCGACCGCTCCTGGACGGGGCGGAACTGGCGAAAATCCCCGCAAAAAAAGGACGATTGGTATACCGCCGAAATCTTCTGCGCATCCGCGGAGCCTGCAAAGCTGCTCGTTCACTGCGTGCAGCGTCCGCGCGCCGAGCATGCTGACCTCGTCGATGATCAGCAAATACTTCTCCTGCCAGTCCATCCGGATTTGGCCGTCGACTCGCAAATCTGCTGCGCTCGAACGCCTGGTGCCGTCTTCGGTCTTGTTGGGTCCTCCCCGTGTTCCGTCTTTTGAAAAACTGCAGGCCGAGTGAATCGTCACTCCTTCGATCCGTGCAGCCGCTGTCCCCGACGTTGCCGTCACTAACAGACGATGCCCTATCCCCTTGCTTGCAAACAGCGCTGCGACGGCCTCGATTACGCGCGACTTTCCCGTTCCGCCCTCGCCGCCGACAAACAGGCACAGCTGGGAAGTTCCCCGCTCGTCGAGACGAATTCGATCCAACTGTCTGCATACTAGCTGCACGGCAATGCTCTGTCTTCCATTGAGCGTCAAGGACTCCGCGAGTCGCCTTCCCGCCTCGGCGAACGACGTGGCCGCGCCGAATTGGATTCTTGTCGACGGTCCCCCGGCTCCCGCCAAACGCTCCGAGTCTGCCTCCGTAAGCTGGACGTCTTGCTCGCCGAAACCACTCAGGACGCTGTACACGGCCGCGGCGTGGCCCGTTATGTCATCATCAGCTCGGCTCTGTATGCCCTGGATCATCC